TTAAGCTTCTAACAAAAAAAAAAATCGGTGCATAATTTAGACTTTCTAACAAAGAGTTATGGTCTAATTAGTAAAAGGTAGTCTACTTGACTAATGATTCTGCTACAGTTGTCCAATTCGAGTTTAGGTGTATTTTTTTTACAAATCCTATCTCATACCCATATCCAATATAGATAATATCGCTTGAACAAAGATTCATGCCTAGCTTCATTTACAAACCAAAAGCCAAATTACCACCCATCTCCTAGAATAGTCCATAAAAACATGATATAAAACTAGAATATCCATCCCAAAAATTTTTGTCAATTCCTCTAAGCTAGGTAATTCATGAATTCGGATAAATAATAAATCCATAACCTAACTAAGAAACAAATCACACTTCTCTTATAAATATAAAACTTCAAACAAATTAAAGCCTAGAGTTTCTTCAATCCAACATAATACTCCAGTGATAGTCCACAACCTACAACTACCATCTAAGACCTAATTCCTAGACTCAGATACCAAACTTGTAACACCCAATAATTCATTCTGGAAGACATTACCATCTAGATACCATCCAATCATGAGAGCAAATAAGAATAACCATTTAGATAATAAATGATCCAACCATCTATTAAATACCAAATACTAAAGACAATAAAACATTGTAGCATCTCCGAACTTACAGTTCAAAACCAAACTATAACTAGCAGATGAATAATTAAAACTAGCTAAAACATGGTTTCATAAAAATCTCTCAAACTCTAAAAAAAAAAAAATAATAACTCTATTCCTCTAAGATAGGGTCCACATATTGATTTACCAACGACTCATAATCAACCTGCTCAACCACATCGACATACTCTTCTATACCAAAATCTGTAAGTGTGTGGTTGTAAGGGGTGACCAAAAGCCCGTAGGAAATTCCTCTTAAATCTAAACAAAGTTTTAAAACAATAAAAACAAGGTAACTCTCTTTTAAAAAATAGCATATATACATTTTGAAATTAAAACCATGACAGTTATAATGATCTCAAGTGTATGGATTATAGTAAATCCATAGCAGGAATAACATTTAAGTATTAAAGCAATCAATAAATAACTCAGTAGCATCTTCCCATATTATCATGTAGGCTGGTTGCTTCTTAACAATCTACACATCGATTCTACCTTATTCACACATCATAACCACACAATCTCAATAATTCGTTAAAGGGCCAAATCACAAACCACCTTAGGAAGGGTGTATATCGTCTCCTAGGACATTTACGAATCCTTCCCAAGAAAAGGTATATCATCTCTCAACATCGAACTTATATGAACAATATTGGTTGTTTTAACAAACATCAATCTACTACAAGTGTTAGACAACCATCTTACCGCTACTAGGATAGACTAACCTCTAACACTCTACGGCAACTCTTGAAGGCAATTAAAGTCTGTCACACTCAAACCATACAAGAGATGAAATCACAATTTTATCAACAACTGTAATCTTAACCAATCACAATTTTCATAAATACTCAAGTATCACAATTTCACAATTCTCAATAAACTATAATAATGAAGGAATTAAAATCTGCAATAGACTATCTCAAGAAAACCTTCACCATTTCGATATCAAAATTCTAGGATTTTGTCAAAAATCATAATTCTTGAAGCAAGAACAAGTAATTAATTGAAAATCTAATTTAATCAATAATAGAAATTTTAGAAATCAAGAATTAATATATCTCTCACAATAAAACATGTATTTCAAAAAAACTAGAATTTTGGAAATTCAAGAACAATGTTTCTTGAATGTAAAAACATGTATCTAGCTAAAAACCACATGTTATTTGAAAAGCAATCAAGAACGAACAATATGTTAATCAAAAGAAACAAATAACAAAAAATTATTTAGAATACAATAATCTACAAGATCTAAAACACACATAGAAACTATAGAAAATTATTTTGAGTGATTGGATTAGTGGAACATATTAACTCCATCAAACATTACATACATAAAATTTTGACACATCATTTAACATATAAAATTTGGTAAATAAAATTGGACAACACAATTTTATGCATATCACAGTCTCACATTATATGTATTCATAAAACATTTTGAAAGGCCTCATCAAACTTTCGGTTACTAGGATTTGTCGGCCGGTCCCCCCTAGGGCAACACCCCTCCCCCC